TCGTCTTATCTTGGGCATCATCAGCGAGAGTCGAACCCGGACTGTTACGATATGATGCAAACATTTTACATCGCTACACAGAAACTTTCATGTTTCAGTACAAAAATGGTGCTTCTTCAGGCGACGGTAGATAATTTATGATAAAAATGTTGTATTAGGGAAATTTAAAATCAAATCGTTGCCTCTTTTCGTAAGTTTGAGGAGGGGCCATAAGGTCCGAATTAAAAATATACTCATGGTTATGTCTAGATTAATCAACTAGATGTCAGGTCTACTCGAATATATAAAAATGAAAATAAGGTCAAAAAGGGTAGATGGGTTAGTTATTTTTACATATCAAGAAAACTGAGGCTTAGATATGTCATCGCAAGACACTAGGGAAGATTGCAACGAAAAATGCATCATTGGTGTATCCAAGTATGATTTGCTGATTTTTTGAAGTAAACATAAATTTGTCAGAATTTTTTTTTAGTCTTTTATTATACTAAGGAAGCTTCTTAAAGGGGCCAATAAGTAAAATTTAAAAAAAATGGAAAAATACATATAAATTAGACAAAGGCAGCATAACACCGTTAATTCATTTATTTTGTTTAACAGATTTTTATTGTTAAGAAACTTAATAATTTGCAATTGTTCTTATAAACATAGGGAAAATGGATCATGGAAGGATTTCAAGTTGTAATTATTTTTATTATTTTCCATTTTACTGTAGAAATTATATTGACTTATTTTATGTGCCAAAACTATTTCGAAATGGACGTTCCGTTAAGCTACGCATTATTGCTGAAAGAAAATATGTCTTCATACCAATTAGTTTTCAAGGAATTTTTGATACTATCGAAATAAAATTTGTTTAACTGCTGGATTTTCACTTGATGAAATAGTACTTAGGTAAACAAGGGACACTGTTAGATACCTATTTTGAAATGGACACTCGTTAGGATGGTATCATTATTGTTTGTTGCTTGGCTATGCCTATTGATATTAAGTTTTAAGTGTTCACTTAAAATGCTATTATTGTGTTTTGTAATAATATTTTAAGGTTCTCCGTACAACTATAGCTTAATTTAAGTGTATTTTCATTAAAAATATTACTAAGAGAATTATTTGTAGGGAAGTTTTTCTTAATTAAATTAAGAAATGTGTGTCCTAACTTAGTTCTAACCATTTGTCTAAATGGGGGAGGGTGTACCAAATGATTTTTCTGTTTATATTCTTTCGTACTAACACCGTTATGTAGGTTTGTCGGTAATATTTTTACTAGTTTTTTTTTTAATTTTATCAACTGATTTCCTTATATTGTTATCTATTTTTACTTAAGTTTTATTTACTTAAGTTTTTTTCTAATTAAAAATATATATATATATATATATATATATATATATATATATATATATATATATATGTGTGTGTGTGTGTGTGTGTGTGTTTTTGTGATGGGTAAATTGTCGGCATTTTATATTTTTAAATTCGCGCTTGGGAATTGTTTGCTTCCTGTTTTGCCGAATACACAGTTTAGTAGGAGCAGTTGGGCACCAACTGCGAGAAAAGATACTCCATGTCGTAGTTCACTCGGCCAAAAATTTGGAAACGGCATGATGTACTGCTTGGCATTGGCACCAGAAGCTGCAATACGAACATTTCAATGTGTTTAATGGTAAATCTGTGGACATTAATGATTATTTGGAAAGCCTTGGATGAGTCTAACGGTAATTACGAACGTCCGGCCGCTCAGAAAACTCACTCTAATCGTTTTGATTAGAAAATAACTCACATTTTTGTTGTTGAGATCATCAGACTCAACACGCAGGCCCGTTCAATGCCCTAGGAGGTAGTGTTGTCCTGGCTTAAGTGAGAGGCTGCTGGAGGATAATATATCTGGCAAATGGACTTTGCACCATGCCACACAATCATGAGATCTCATTCATTGCTGTCAGACAATTTCTGCGATCACACCTCTTACATCTTCTCATCTAACTCCCCAGACTTGCAAAACTCTTGTTTATTATGCGTGGGGCGCAGTTGAGCGACAGACCAACAAATCTCATTGGATCATTAAAATAAGGTGACGCCAACTTTCCCTGACGATCCGCTTAGTTGAAACCTTGGTAGGTTTGTCTGGCTCTCTAGGTTTTGTCTTTTGTATTGACTACTTTTGTATTGAACACTTTTTTGTTAGTTGATTACTCGTATCGTTTTTTTTTCTTTGGTCTTTGGACCTGTATGCTGTACGATGATTTTCGACAGACGTTCATGTTCATAGCTCTTTTTTTTTTTAAAACCTTTTTTCCTTCGAAATTGATTTGACCATAAGCAAATCAAGAAACCGATAGTTTTCGAGACGAGAGTAGTTACCTATATATATATATATATATATATATATATATATATATATATATATATATATATATATATTATGTGAGATATCAGCGTTATTTTCATTTTTCGTCATTCAGAAGACAATTTATATATCGCATCCTTCATATATTCGTAAGCGTAATAATCTTAGTAAACTGAATTAATTTTGTTGTGTATGTTGATCTTGTGTTTTGCCATTGCAATTATTTCGCCTGGTGTGAATATTAATCACACTGATTGAACCTTATATAGATAAATTTCAGATTGACAATAAGCCGGACGTCTGACTGCGGACATCTTGATGAATATCTCTGATAATAAAGTATCCTCTAAATATTCATATGATATCATAATTTTCTAAAGAACAGCTTTATGTTAAGTTTGAAAATTTAGTAGATTTGTAGATCTAAGCTGTAGTAGCTGACTTTCTTTCGTATATAGAAAATTACCTGGGTTATATAAGCCTTAGTTCAGTCAGTGAATACTTTATATATAGGAAGATGTAATGAGAGACTTCATACAGCGAAATGAATGAAGTAATATACACGAAGATCAATAGACAAACATTCCAACCAGACATTTAATAACAGCAGACATTTGTTAAACTCGGCCAGTCGAGTGACGAACATGTGCTGTCGTTGTTTGCTTAGTGTCGATATCTCGCTTAGAATAGCATCCCTTTTTTGGAACCTAAAATTCCTAAGAAACCATGTCTTACATTGCACACTCTTTCTGCAAGCCTCGTTGTCAAATATTTTATTGATATTTTTTTGAAATATCATACACAGATTCTATTCACAATTTTTAAATTTCTTTTTTTCCAAATTACATATACTGTTATTATTTATTTTAATGTTAATCTTTATTCTTGCCTTTTCTATAACGTTCTAGGCTGCATTGAGAAATCGGAGAACCGAGTTCGAATTCCAGTTGAATCCATTGCATTCATTTACGTACTAATACCATTTGGAAAGTTATGAATCCTCTTCTTCTCCTTCCAGCTATGGGTAAATAGCAGGACAGGCCGGGTTCTTTAGCCTTGGATGACAACTGGTCTACCGCAGAGAGAAATTCCAACCTTCTGCGGGAAAAATAATCTGCCTCGTCAGTTATGTATCGAAAGATATATAATTGCCTAAGTGTGTATCACAAATGGCACGTAACTGACTGACTATGCTGTTATAATATAGATACCATATATATTAGCAAAGAGAATATTAAATAAGTACACACCGACAAGCTTTAGAGTCTGATAATAACATCATATTTAATATGAACGAAAAAACTTCGATTTATGAAGTGATATACAAATAAGGACAATTAAGCGTTTTTGACGGTACAGACATGACATTATAATTTTGTATGGTAGTGTAAGCTTCATTTTTTTTCTTTTTGGAGGGGGGCAGAATTCTTTCTACAGCTTATCTCTTATCAAGTTTCCATTAAAATATTTTAGTCTAAGATGGTTGTGGGCTCAGAGAGGTGAGTAATGAATTTTCCTTATGAAGATAACAAGAAAAAAGCATCGGAATTACATAAAATGCATTAATTTTTATTTCTGCACAATCTACAGCGGTGACCGAGAAATAACATTATTTAATGTCGAAATGTGTTAAGTATCATTAAATAAAATTCTTCCAAATCTATCTATTAATAGAATGAAAGTAGAAATGCAATTTCACCCATTGATTTCCGGAGAGCTTTTAACCTGACGTTTCCTCGATGTGCTTCCGTTTGATGCGATAAATAAAAAAAAAATCGAGATGAGTAAAGAATTAAAGACAAAATAATTTAAAATGTATTAAATCTCGTGAGTAAACAAAAAAAAATGACTGGATTAGTTGATGCATCAAGTATTTAACGATGTATTCGCAAACTTATTTACGTAGCAATTACATCCTAAGCTTCATATCAGAAGGGACAACGCCCATTTCATTACGTCACCAAGGAATTGAGATTTACTTGACCTCCCCACTGAGTCAGGTTGTGACACAAGGTCAGTTTTTAACGTGGGAACCTGTGTGTTTTCACTCGGGCCGCAGGTCTAATGTGGTATTGGCTTGTTATAGTTTGTCCAAGCTGGTCAGAGTTGTTCTAAGAAAGTCACAACTCGTCTGGGCTTATCATAGTTGGTCCAAGATTGTCACAGTCGGTCCAAGCTAGTGGTAGCCATGATATCACCAGCACAGGGACGGAACACTGGGCCAGGTGAGTATGACGTCAGTTAGGAGTATATTATATATTTCCACTTCCTTTTAAACGTTGAAATTATATCAAACAAGAACATATATCAAACAATGAAACAAATAAAAAATGAAAATATCTACTATCGCAATACAATTTAAGTTTACTATTTTATCACATGATTAACAAGCAAAACGCTTTTAACAATCGTGGGAGATGAAAGCGTAGTCAGAAAATGGCAGACACGTCGGTGGCATGCAATGAAATAAAGTGTCGTGATTTGGATACATCCAGAGGATTTGTTATAAATGCCGCTTCATAGTTGATCGCTTTAGGAAGAAAGGCGTGATCGAGAACCTACCCTATTTTTTGGAACATTTGTGACGAAGAAAATAGGTCCTTATTCAAACTCCCAACATGTTTAATGAGCATCATCGTATATCGCTACGATACTTGAAATGGCTTCATCCATATCTATCTATCTATCTATCTATCTATCTATCTATCTATCTATCTATATTTCTTATGTTGTTTGTCTGTGTGTCTGTCGTGGGTGGTGTTACCTCGCCTAGGCCGCATTTTTCATCCGATTTCGATGCGGTTTTCACCACAAGTTTGCAAATGGCTGCCGTAAGGACATGACGGAGCCCGATTTTTGAGTTCGGACTCAGGTTCTGAAAAAATCGATAATCGAAAAATTCTGCTTAGAGAAGGAATGATCGCATTTCAACCAAATTTGACACCCTCTTAGAGTCTACCATTAGAAGTGTTGTCCAGAAGTTTCATGTCCACGGAACCCTAAACAGCGCGGAAAATCGATAAAACCCAAAAACCGATACGCCCAGATTGCGCCTGAACCAGATGTCGGTTTATAGCGAAAACCGAGCGGATTTATGAAGAGGCCATTGGGTGTCATCATGTGAAGTTTCAACTCTGAGCACCGCCCCAAACAGAGTGCAAATCGACAATAGGTCAACCCTTAAAAATGTTTTTTCCGGTTGGGTATTTCCTAAATGCAGATTAATTTAAGGTCACGCTATGCGCGGGAAGAAACAGGTTCAGTGCGTTCAGTGGAGTAGAAGAAAACATTTGACCTCAAATTCTGGAATGGGTGCAGGGCCATTGAAATTCGGCTTTTTTATCCCTGCTACCAGGTCTGACTTTGAGCCACAAATGACATATTCGACTTTATCAACACTTTTGCTTTAATCATCGCATCTTACCAAAATAAGCACTTCCTTTATTCGCGTCTTTACTGAAAAAAAAACGCATACGTGCTGAGCGAAAATGGTTCTGCCCTCAGCAGTCCATTTTCCAATTCTTTAAAACTTTTCCTCAAGCCCAGGCCGCAACCCAGACCTGGCGAGGAGTTTTTGCGCTAGAGCAACAGGGCTTCCTCCCAATCCATTTCAATGCTAATGCCGGCAAACGGTTAACGGCTTGTCGTTGTCGCACAAACCAAACGAGCAAACGCTTCATTGCAGCTCCTTGCATTCTCATCGCTGGCATCACGTGCGTTAGAGCCAAGCTGTATATGTAGCAGGCAGCTTGACCCCGTTTACGACCAAGCCTTGCGCTTGCCAAATCATGCGCGCGTGCGTGAATGCGCGCTAGCATCTTCCATTTTGCGTGAGCTCGTTCATTGGTCTAAGTCATGGTCATTTTCCAGGCTACACCAATCAATGACAAGTCACGCTTCCTTTTAAATAGCTTCAGCGCGGCTGCATCCGCACTCACGTCTTGATTTGATCGCCATTAATGCATCTGTCCTTGGATTAATTGATAGCTTCCTGCTACCGCAAGTTACCTATTTGCTTAAACGTCTGCATTACACATTTTATCTCCGCGTGCTGCCCCTACTGCTCAGCCCAGTCCATCTTAGCGTTCCATACATATTTCTACGTTTTCGTAGTTCAGTTTTGCTATTAGACAGTTAACTGCTGTCGCAAGTTACTTATTTAATCAATCGTTTGCCCAACCTATTTTACTCTCCACGTTACAGTTTTCACTGTAAGTTGAAGTGTACTGTCTTTACTACGCGGCCCAGTACACCTCAGTACTTCACTGCCTATTTGCTTAAACGTTTGCATTACCCATTTTATCTCTGTGTGCTGCCTCTACTGCGCAGCCCAGTCCATCTTAGCGTTCCATAACTATTTCTACCTTTTCTTAGTTCAGTTTTGCTATTAGACAGTTAACTGCTGTGGCAAGTTACTTCTCTTCTGCCTTTACTACGCGGCCCAGTACACCTCAGTGTTTCACTACTTTTTAAACTTCAACGCTTCAACGTTTTGGTTGCGTAACCTCTTCCTACAGCTACGTTTTCGTGCTGCCAGAAAGCACTGCCCATAGCTAGGAGAAGCTTTTGCCATACGGCTCCACTGCATTTTTAGGTTTCGTATACAACGAGGTTGCACCGCTTCAGCTTCGGCATCAACTTCTATTCGCATTCTTGCACAGCATTTCTACAACCCTTCAAATGGCTCCTACACGACGAACATCCGCACGTCAGCAACTGAAGACCCCTAATACCGTTAACGTTACACATGCAGAACAGGCGACTGCGGAGGAGCACATAATAACTCCGGTTACAGATGATAATATAGCGTCTACTTCAACCTCTGCTTTGCACTCTTCTGAGTGCCGTGGTGATGACCGACCCGGCAGCTTTGCTAAGCGTGCTAAAATGCCATGGCGAGGCCACATTAGCAGGCGTTCTAAAAGAGCCTCTGCGGCAAAGAGAAAGCAGGAGGAGGAAGCCGAGGTAGAGGCCTCTTTGAAGCTTTCCAGTCAATCCCAACGGAGGCAGTATATTTGGTCACATGAAACGCTTGGTGAGCGTAACTACCGTTTGTACTGCAAATCAGTTTACACATATTCGTTGAAAAGTAAGAGGAAACTACCTAAACGCTTGCAAGACAACAAAAAAGCGGCTTCATCACCAGCGCTTTTGCGGTCTCGACAGAGCCAGCATCGAAAATCTACTCGCAATGCAGCCGACGCCGCAGCAATATCCATTCGACGGTCCCAGGAGACCACGGGTGAGAAAACCGCACGTAACACAGCGAAATCTGCGGCAACGTCCATTCGACGGTCCCTGGAATCCATGGCTGAGAAAACCGCACGTCATGCAGCCGACGCCGCTGTAATTTCTGCTGCAAGGGCGTCGGAAAGTTCCGCGCAAATGCGCACAAGGTGGCAACGCGATGCAATTTCAACTTCCGCTGCTAGAGCTGTATAAGGACCTACTGAAAGGCTTGAAAGGTTGCAAAGCAGCTTTGGTTTAAGCTGGCGTTCAACTATGAGCCAGTTTTGAGGCTTCCGGTCGCAAAGACCTCCAAATAGGATCCATGTCAGTTGTCTGTGGGCGTTGCAATGCCAAAAAATGGCCTGGGGAGTCTGCAGGTTTGTGTTGTTCAGACGGTAAGGTACAGTTGCCACCTCTTCAAGAACTACCTGCTCTATTGAAAGCTCTGTTGGAGGGTTCCAGTCCAACATTTCCTCGCAAAAATCAGACAGTATAATTGTGCCTTCCAGATAACCTCTTTTGATGGTAATGTCTTCCGCGAAGTCGGTTGGAATCCCACCTTCAAGGGTCAAGGTCATGTTTACCACCGGATTGGGTCTCTTTTGCCGGAAACCGCCACTGATTCGGCCTTTCTACAAATATACTTCATAGCTGACTACAATCAACAGGCAGATGCTCCCATGGCCATTATTCCCGAGAACGATACAGGCCAGGACAATCATACTCGCAAGGATATCATAATGATTCTCCAACAAATGCTCCACGACACAAACAGCTATGTCCGCAGTTTTAAGTATGCTCTCGAAAATAACACTTCTTCTGATTTCATTATTGTAATTGATGCTGACAATCGGCCTCAGGGAGAGCACGAACGTCGTTACAATGCTCCCGCAAGTAACGAAGTTTCCGTCATTGTCAGCGGTGATCAGCACAACAGACCTGACATTGTTATCGAATCGCGCGGCAGTGGGCTCCGAAGAATGAGTGAAACGCACCGGTCCTACGATGCCCTGCAATACCCACTTCTCTTCCGTTACGGAGAAGATGGGTACCACTTTGGCATTCTGCAAAATGGGTCCATCTTAAAAACAGTGTCTTGCAGGCAGACTGAATCAAACCAAGTTGCGCTGCGACTCTTCCATTCACCTCCGTGATGCTTTACGAAATGACGCTGATCCACGCAATATAGGCAAGATGTGCATACTACCTGCAACGTTCACAGGCAGTCCACGATACATGAACGCGAGGACGCAAGACGCGATGACATGCGTTCGTAAGTACGGCCGACCAGACCTATTCATAACTTTCACGTGTAACCCAAAATGGTACGCAATTGCTAAAGAACTTATGACAGCCATTCAGCCTACAACTGTCCAGACCTCAATGCGCGTTTACCATCTGAATTTGGGAAAGCTAATGGATGTGATTACAAAGGCCAGGTTTTGGGGGCTGTTTGCTGTCGCATGCACATTATTGAATGGCAGAAACGCGGCCTGCCTCTCGCACATATACTAATTTGGCTGTGCGACAAGATTGAGGCCACAGAAATCGATCATCTTATTTCTGCTGAATTCCTGATCCGTCGGCTGACCCTGAATTGTACGAAATAGTGGAAACCAACATGAGTCATGGTCCCTGCGGGTCGCATTACAATTACACCAGCTTTCACAACAGCGACGGCAAATGCACCCGGCAGTACCTACGAGATTTCGTGAGCGAAACCATTACAGGGAGCGATGGTTATTCACTGTACCGTCGAAGGAGTCCCACTGAGGGATGATTTACAGGCGTGGTAAAGGGCCACCAAGTGGATAACAGATTGGTAGTGCCATACTGTCCCCTGCTAAGAAAAGCATTCAATGCGCACATCAATATCGAATATTGCCATTCCGTTCGCTCCATCAAGTATGTATGCAAGTACATCAACAAAGGGACTAATGCCGCAATGTTAGGCAGGAAGGTTCCGTAGAAGAAATCCAGGAATTCCTTGCAGGGCCCTTTATTAGCAGCACAGAGGGCCCTTGGCACATATTCAGCTTCCCCATCCACAAACGCTTCCCAGCAATCGTGCAGCTTTCTGTGCACCTAGAAAACGACGAACTTCGTTATTTTTCTGCGGATACAGCAATGGATGTGGCTGCGCGTACCAAAGACACAACGCATATACGACAGGACGAGTTTGCTAGGACTCTACTGTACCCAGACGTGCCTTCATACTACGTGTGAACAAAAAAGAACACCTGGGCTCACCAGAAGTGCGAACCCAACGTCGAGGGCTGTCTAGGCGTCAAAAAAAACGACACACCCGGAACGGTATTCACGGTTCCCCCATCACGACAGGAATGCTTTTACTTGCGACTCCTTTTGCACGAAGTTAGTGGTCCAACGAGCTACAATAACTTACCTACGGTTAATGGAGTTTCATTTGACATTGTTTGTGAGGCCTGCCTCCGTCTTGGCCTTTTGGAAGACGACAGCCAGTGGGATGCCACAATGGCTGAGGGAGCTCTTTTAAAACGCCACCTACTTTGCGCCACCTCTTCACCACAATTTTACAAATGTGCGAACCCAGTGATATCAAATCACTTTGGGACAAATACAAGGACTTTTTGTCCGAAGACATACTCAGAGAAGCGCTACTGCTGTGTCCAACAATGGCTCTTACATTCAACGATGAAATTTATAACAGGGCGCTTATAATCATTGCGAACATGTTTGTTCAAATAGGGGGGGGGTCTCTCGCCGCTATTGGGCTTTCAACGCCAGATCGTGTGGCTTCCTCCAGTCTCTCACCCGAGATTGTGCGGGAGACATCATACTCTGTTGAGGAGCTTAAAGCCTATGTCACAACAAATGAGCGAAAACTTCTCATAGACCAAAGGGCCGCTTACGATGCGGTTCTTGCATCCACCGGGCAGGATACAGGATCAATTTTCTTCCTGGATGCGGCTGGGAGAACAGGAAAAACGTTCGTAACAAAACTGCTTCTTGCAAAAATTCGGCGCCATGGCGAAGTGACGCTAGCAGTAGCGTCTTCAGGCATTGCTGCCACATTACTACCGGGTGGCCGAACAGTGCACTCAATGTTTAAACTTGACCTGATTAAGGCAGAAACAGCTGTATGCAGTATAGCCAAGCAATCAGGTCTAGCGCTCCGCGATATAAGCTCATCGTCTGGGATGAGTGCACTGTCAGTCCCAAAACTGCTCTCGAGGCTGTAAACCGCTCTCTGAAGGATATTCGAAACTCCGATAACCTCATGGGAGGTATAACTGTCCTTCTATCCGGTGACTTTCGTCAGACCCTCCCCGTTGTACCTAAGGGGACATGGGGCCGACGCTATTCGAGCCTGCTTGAAATCGTCACAACTTTAGCCCACTGTTAGACTATTGCACCTTACCTCCAATATGCCTGCACAACTAACTGGCGATGTTGGGTCCGCCGAATTTTCGAATTCATTATTAGCCCTTGGTGAATGTATTATTCCAGCGAACACTGATGGATTTGTAAACGTCCAAGTGTTGTCTACAGTGGTCACGACGCAGGCAACACACAGGGAATCAGTTTTTCCTGATCTTCAAACCAACTACAACAATATTGAATGGCTTGCTGGGCGGGCAATTCTTACCCCAAAAAACACCACTGTGACAACCCTTAATAGACAGCTTCTGGAAACTGTGCCAGGGGTGTTGCACGTTTACAAAATCCACTGACAAAACTCCAGACCCCGCTGAAATGGCGAACTTTCCGGTAGAGCTCTTCAACAGCCTCCACCCAAATGATCTCCCTCCTCATATTCTGGAACTTAAAGTGTGGATCCCATATATGTTGCTTAGAAACCTGCGTCCACCGAAACTCTGTAATGGGACCAGAATGGCCCTACACCCAAACATTATTGAGGCCAAAATTATAACTGGCTGCGGTAAAGGGGAGCAAGTGCTTATCCCAAAGATGCATTTGTATCCATCAGCTGCCGACTCACCCTTCACTTTCAGAAGATCCCAATTCCCTGTCGCACCCTGTTCTGCTTTGACAATTAATAAGGCCCAAGGACAAACGCTGTCGGTCACTGGTGTACACTTCGAGGAGCAGTGCTTCTCACACGGCCAACTTTACGTAGCCTGCTCTCGAGTCGGCAGGCGCGAGGATTTGTTCCTACATTCACCCACGCAAAAAGCCAAAAATGTGGTGTACACTGAAGCTCTAAGCCAGTGATAGGCAAACTCCATTCCATTTTTCCTTTCCATGCAAAAAGATTGAGGTCCATGCCAAATCAAACATATTGAATTCTGGATTTGTGGTTTTGAATAGAGAAGGAGCTAAACACAAAAGATGCGTCATGTCGGAGCCCGATTTTTTATTTGGGACACAAACTTTGTAAAAAAACCTGATTAACTCACAGGTGATACGGATTTTGGGGGTTTTAAGTTCAATGTCTCGCCTTCACTACGCGGCCCAGTACATCTAAGCTTTTCATCTCATTTTGGACTTTGTGGAGTTGACTACGCGTTGTTAAACCCTTTTGAGCTCTTTTTATTTGAACTTAAAAATAGGATCAATGTATGGTTTCCATAGTACCTGGTTAACAAAACAAGGGCAACAACAACCCCGCCCAAGTAGTATGACCAGTCTCAATATTTCAGGAAACTGGTTTGGATCTGAAAAAGTATTTGTTGTTAACATTTTTTTTCATTCGGTTTTTCCAATTGCGAGTCCTTTTTTAAAG